GCGTGGGGAATTATTGAGAGATGATGGACTTTTGTTGGATTGGGGTGCTCTACCCACAAATGGAGTCTTCACGCAAGAGTGGGCTCGGAGCACTGAAGCTGACCAATTCAAAGCTTGGCTTTTTCTCCTTAAATCCTCATGTGCCCATGAAAAGGACAGTTTGTCCTTTTCATGTGACATTCATGACTCTGAATTAAGTGTCTGAAGGCTGTGATTTCTTTTAAGTGAATAGGGAAGGTTTGGAATATGAAATAAGGTATAGGGATTATCTGATTACTCCTTTCCCCCCCTGCCCACTTTGCACCTCAATGTAGGGCTTAGGACCACTCATTGCTCTAAGAAGGTTTGATGTTTTTGCCCCTGCACACAAAGGAGAGCACACATACGTGCGCATTACACACTTCCGCATCACTTCTTCAATCTTCACCAAGGCTCAGTTTGATAGATGGCTTATTCTGCTGGATGAGCAAAGGGTATGTGGGAGTGACTTAAGTGTTCCTTTTTGTTTCTAACAGATTCTATCCATTTGCTTGCCTCATTTTTTTCTGAGTCAAGGTCACGAGGGACATTAAAAGATATGTGGACAAAAAGTGATGCTATTAATCAACGTTACAGTAGCATTGCTACTTAAGAACTATTGATTGTTTTTTTTTTGTTTGGTTGTTTTAATATATTTTATAGATAGACACTCAGAGACTTGAGAGTCTGCAGCTAAGTGGTAGAGTACTACCACTATAAAAGCAACCACCTTCTAGTGGCTTAATGAAAATAAAGAAAGACATTCCTAAATGTCTGCCAGTTTGGTTTTCCGGTGTTCTGTGCATTACAGAGCCCTCTTTGATAAACAGACTTTTTGAGTCGTTTTCCTCTCTGGCAGCCGCTCACACACGGCAGCGGTGGCCTAGAGTACACTCTGAACATACACTATATTTGTTAGTGACAAAGCCTCGGGCTTTAAACTTTTATGACCAAAACTGGTAATTTCACTCATAAATGTAAATCTCTACGGTGATAACTGTGATCTCAGTAATTGGATCATGCACTAAAACTGAGATGTAAGTTGTGACGGAGCTGCTGTCAGTGATGATTGAAAGCTCTGATTAGTAGATTATTCTCTTGTGTGCTTTGCATAAATGCCTACAGGAAGCTGTTTTGGATGCATAGCACATAATGCATTGCTAAAACAAGCTTTTTACCCGCCACGTTCGACCTCATGGGGTCTAAATGGCTCTCAGAGAAATGGGCACACCCTGTTCTCTGTACCTCGTGCTTATTTAGCCACTGGCGTTTTTCCCTCCAGGTGTTTTAAACATCTTTTGTTTGGATCCCTTTGCATGCCAGGTTTTAAACTGCCAGCCCACTGTATTCCTTCATTTTCTTTTTAGTGTGGGTTTGGCCCTGACATGATGTGTCACCAACTGCGGTTTAGTTTTGTTGTTTTTTCCTCCTCACTTTCAAACAGCTAAGTGAATTCAATCTTCTGCAGTTTTAAAACATGCCCTTGGGCCATGGTTTCACTTCAGTTGTACCAAATGGCTTTGTACTGGTCAACGAGTGCACATGTGTATTTACTTGCGCACGCGCACACACACACACACGCTTAGCTTTGTGCGTATGCGTAGTTTGCTTTTTCTCTTTTCTGTCCACTGTGTCGACACAATCCCAGCGTTTATGAGATTACCAGAGCCCATTTGTGTTCCGACGGGAGCCATCTTGGCTCAGATGAGGCCTCCGCTGGGAACCATCTGGGCTCTACTCAAAGCAGTTTCCACTCCGCCTCCCCTGTCCTCTGCACATTGTGACCAAAGCTATTTACTTTGAAGGAAAGAAGAACTTTGAATTCTGTCTGTGTCTTTGTGAAACTCTTGATGCTTTAGATCAAGCTCCAAAGCTCGTGGGTGGCACTGTTCCTCCGCACAAAATACAGATAATGAAATGTGTTGGTTGCAGGAATCATTACGTGATCATTTCTATAAAATGTATCGACTTCATGTAAATAATAAATTCTTCTGTAAATTGACAAAAACATCAAAAAGTCCTGTGACAAGTTGATAGATTTCAAAACAGTCTAAGGTATTTGAGCCTCATTAATGGTAAGTAAGGCATTTCAGGTATTATTATTATAAAAAATAACAATCTAAAGCAGAATGCGTAGACAAGGTGGCGATAGATTCTCATAATTGGCAGTGACTGCTCAATGGATAAAGGAGCTGTTGTTGTTCCATTTTTCTGCTCTGTAGTGCTGTGTGCCACATATTGCGCTAACGGTAGTATTAGGCTTCAATCCTGCCATTGATTTTAAGCCTCTTTTATCTCTGCCGCCCTGCCTGGTGAAATGTCAGTTCAGTTTTACATATGCTTTCAGGTTTTTGTGGTCACTGCGAATTGCACATTTGTTGTTTATTTTGACTTCAGTCAGGGAATAACATTCTTAATAATCATTTTCTATTGATTGACTAATTAAAGTTGAACTGTCCGGGTATAGTCCTTTTGATTATGACAGGCTGGCGTGTGTGATTGTAGCCTGCTGTCTTTGCTGATGCTTTCCATTCAGCTCATGTATCCTGTAATATTACTGACATTTCTCAGTAGGTCTGTTTGGCGGTTATTAATGCTGTGTGCTGTTACAGCATCCCTGTAGGCAAAGACAAGAGTCATCTTGTCGTCATCAGCTCAGGCAGGCTCATTTTCTTTGCATAAGGTTGGCAGTATGTGGTAAATGAAGTTTCCCATGTAAGTGGTCCAGGAAAGCACACAGACGAATTTGTTGTTGTGACTGAAAAAGTGTTTTCTTAGGATCGCTTTGTTTTCCTTTTGCTTTTTTTTTTTCTTTTTAACATCAGTTCTCGTTACAGATGGTTGATCCGACTTACTCGACTGTGTATTTTCTCCTCATGTCGGTGATATTCATCACATTTAATAGATTCTATACAGCCTGGAGAATTATATTTTCCTCCAAAATATGATAATTAGAGAATAATTGTGGATTGTGATTCTCTGAGGCAATAGAACATTCCAGTGTATAATTCCCCCCCCCCCCTGTGGAAATATTATTCTATCTCTTAGTGTGCCTGTCTTTATAGCTCAGATCGAGATATTTTTTTCATAACTGAATGTTTGCTAGAATCTCCTACCAAGTAAAGGACCGGTCAGAGTTAAAGAAAAATGGGTAGCCAAAAGGCTTTCATTCATTCTGTTGAGCACACTAGAGTTGCCCTCGTATCTCCTGGTTTGTGCTTTTTGTTTTTTTTCCCCCACAGCGAGCATAAACACTTTCTGCTTTGGAGCTTTGCGTGCTCCGATCATAACTTCTAGACAACTTCTAGTCGAGTTTCTATTTTTCCTTCAAATTGGATTTTTTCCCAGCTATGAGTGTTGCTTTTAGTTGTCAGCATTGTTTTATTTTTGTTTTTGCATTTGCTGCGTTAATGGAAGCTGGTAACAGTTAAGTTGGCTCTTTTCTTCCAGCACTCGCCCACTTCCCCATTTGACATTTGGATACTCAGAGGACCGGTGCTGCTCTTATAGCCTAGTTATGTAACTGCTTCTCCACTTAGAGGAGGGAAAAAAAAAAGATAAAATGGGGTTAGTATCTGAGATGGCAGCGAGGAAGACAGAAAGACAGTAATGAAGATTTTACAGAGGCGGATGAGGTACGAGTGAATTTAGACTCCATTGCTGTCCTGGGAGGGCAGGCCAATGTTTTAGCTGCTCGTTTTACATGTTAAAAACAAGTAGTGCTATGTTTTTATTAGTTGGTAGGAAACAGGTTGTTTTCTGTAAATATGAAATTGTTCTGCATAGTTTGCCACGTTTGAAAACAAGAGCCTCATTGATATGCCACTGTACCAAGTGGTGTTACATTACATTATATCGCTTTTGAACAAACCCTTGATGAAAACGCTTTATCCAAATATAACTGGATGCAGAAAGTGAAAATATGTGTCCTACTGTTATATGAATAGCTTGTGAATTTTATGCTTAATAAAAGAACAGATTATACATTCAGTAATAAAAGCTTCTTTTTTTTTTTAACTTCAGCTGAGAACAAGGCAGAGCAGTTTACAAACTTAATTCCCCTCAGATTTCCCTTGTGACTGCAGGGCTAAGCAGTCCAAGACTTAATCGCTTGACTACGTCCTATCTCCTCAGCACACCTGCCCTCTCACTTTCTCGCTGACTTTAGGCTTTAGAGTAAAGAAAAATGCTATTGATTTTTTTTTTTTGTCCTTTTTCTTTCGCCTCCTGGTCGTCCATCATTTATGAAACAAAAAAGTAATGAATAGATAATTAGCCTGAATAGGCAGAATTTGGTTATAGTCCATCACGGGCAATGTTGTGAAATCTTTCCTACTTTGTCAGCAGGGTTAGCTAATTTGGGTGCCCTCATTTGTTTACTTAAGGGAATGGCAACTTAGCTGTCACTAATTGAAAATGATTTGCGTTGTTTAAAAAAAAAAAAAGGATGAAGAAATGTGGGCTCTTAATTAAGGTTGAAGTGCATATGCAACACTAATTTAAAGCCTCTAATAGCCTCCACTGTTTGTGCAGGCCAATCACAGGCCCAGTGATTTCTAAATAGACACGTTATTGAAAGCTGACAGTCATGCTTAATTGAAAATGTCAAACACTCAAGTTATTCTGAAAGTGTACTTAGGCGAGCAGTCGCTGCTGGGGCGGGCGGGGCTTTCTCTGGTTATAAAAGTACTGACCAAGACCAGATTCATTGGAAAGTCCACAACAGTGGAATGAAACAGGATCTGCATATGTGTGCATGCGTGTGTGTGTGTGTGTGTGTGTGTGTGTGTGGTACTGAATAGAAAGCTCACAGGTCTTCATTGATGTTTCTATTTAAGAACAGTGATGTCTCCTCAGGGGGACCCCCTCCCTCCTATTGCTGTAAACGAATCTCAAACTTAATCTTGATACAGAACATTAACTGAGCCTCTTTTCTTCCTCTCGTTCCTCCCTCCCTCCCCCCTCCTCTTGTGGTTTTCCAGGTGGAAGTTGAAGTGGAAAGCATGGACAAAGCAGGGAACTTCATTGGCTGGCTGCACATTGAAGGTGTGAATCTGTCTGTGGCACTGGTAGAAAATGCTCTGTCCAAGGTGCACTTCACAGCGGAGCGCAGTGCCTACTATAAAACCCTGGTTGCAGCAGAGGAGGGGTGCCGACAGAGGAAAGAGAAGGTAGGTTTCATTTAGATGCTACAAGAGCTCTACTGCACAACCTACAAAACAATGACAAGAGTCCCAAATGGCATTAAACTGGCCCTCAAAAAGCTTTCAGATGTTAATTGCACAGCAATCGTCATTTAACCAAAGCTAGCTATCTTTAGGTTCAAAATTGCTGATGGAAGTAAATCTCAAGATGTCATCTGGCTTAGCAGCAGCATCAGTGCTTACTTTACTGGCTTTCCCATCTCTGAGCCATAGTGACTTAGGTCTGCCTGCCTGTGGCCATATTGTATTGTGTCCACGTGTGGGCTATTTCTTCCATCGCAGATCCAGCAGCTCTTTTTTCCGCCTTCAACATCAGTGCCAGTAATACATTTATTAGTAGAGTTTAAGGTGCTGTCTGGAGAAATGATAATCCTTCAGAAGTGAGTGGAGAAAAATAAAAAGCTTTTTGTTCAAATAATGCTGAGAAATTTCTCCAAGTCACCCCGGTGGCAATATAAATGTGACTAAAGTGCATTAATAAGATGCAGTGCTAAAAGTTAAAGTTACAGTGTTCTGAAAATACTCCATCTGCTTCTGCAAATAGCCACATATTTGCAGTTATCATTGAAGCTGTCTTTTCTCAGTGGGAAATCTGTGATGGATAGAGGCCTCTCTCACGGTGATCCTGATCTCGCCCTGCATTTTCATTATGGCTCCGCGACTCACCCCTGGCAGATGCACGAGGTGCCCAGCCAGCTGTCATCATTGTCCTCTTTCTCTCTATCTGTGTAACTTATTTCTTTTGCTCATGCCTCTCCTCCTCTCGCTCATCCACTTGCGTCCACCTATTTGGGTCCTTGAGGAGACACAAATGCATCTTCTCCCCATAAATGTGATGTAGTGCCAGAGCCAAGAAGGGGTTGCGTTCTTTTTCCCCTCCTCTGAATCTATCATGTTCACAGTGAGTGTGTTCCTACTCTTGTGTCTTCCCTGCTTTCAGCTCTCCTGTTTTTCTTCCAATTACTCTCTGTCTAGGTCTTCCATTTCTCACAACTCTGAATAGAGTGGTGCGCAGGTGAACCTTTTGTCTGACATTTAAAAAAAAAAAAAAAAAAGGGGGTGGGGAGGGCGAAAAAAAGGAAAAACATCTTGCCAGTGATGTGAGCACACAGACGCTGCCATGTTAAATCTAACTGCAGCATGAAGGCGCGTTCCTGACACCTCCGATAACAATTTCACTACCGGTTTCCAAACCCCCTTGCAGTGTTGAGACAGATTGACTTTCACCACAAGGTTTTGACTTGAGCTAACCTGAGTGCGGACAGGGCCGTGAGGAAAGGCAACAGAATGGGGCCTGAATTGACCAGACAGACGGTGATTATGTTTGATGTTAGTTTGCCAAAGGCACCGGTGGACAAATCAACCACAGCCTGATTTGTTTGTGCATGTGTGTAGTGGAAAGTGTGTTGTGTTAGCAGGGCACGGGGCAGTTAGTTGTATTTGTGTGTGAATGCATACTATGCAACTTGAAGGCAGATAAGGTGGGACTTGGTGTTCTAATTAACCCATAGAGACCATCTTGAGGGGAAAAAAAAAAAGCTAAGAGCATGCATTTTTTTCCCCCGCCTTTCTTTCTCTTTTGAAGTTAAGGTGGTTGGTCTTTGTGTGTAGGCTGAGGCTCAGTATGGTAGCTTGTATCCCTTCCCATCGCCCTCCCTCTTTTCCTCTTTTCTCATTGCCCTCTCTTTATTGTCCCTGCGGCAGTGGATATGGAAGACATCATTGGTACTGCTGCGTCAGGCGTCTCTCTGAGAAAACAAGGTTGTCATAATGAAGAGGGTCCCATGTGTGCGTGTATGCATGCACACACTCATTAAGAAAAGCGTCGGTGGTCCAGCAGGACATCGAGGGGGAGGGACTCAGGTTTGCTGCAGTAGCATCCTGAACCAAAACTGCTTAGTTCGAGTGACTTAAGCAAATATGAGATTTTGCTACAATGAGGCCAATGGGACAAAGTGATTGTCTTCTAAATGAAGCCTTCCAAAGGGTTTGGAGAAGACCCCTTTTCTCAGAGCTCAGCGCATTTTGATCTTGCACATCAGCATCTCTTAGAACAATATCTGGAACAGTCCTGGGAGCAAATCCATCTCACACAACATGCAGAAGGCTTAAGTTGCAGACCTGGAATTGCTCCAAAGCCTGTTTCCCCATTACATTCATTGTCCCTCGACTATTGTTTACATAAATCTCTAAAGTGTGTCCCCCTGTAAGAATTATCATCACGCTATCAGCACTAACATTCCTATAATTCAGTGAAAAAGACCGACCCAGGGACACAGTATAAACTTATCTTGTGGTGTTTTAACAATGATTTGATCGCTGCCAAGCCATGGTCACGCCCCCACCTTAAATCTCCTCCGTGGTTTGACAAAGTAGTCTGGTGTATATTCAAAATCTCCTTTGGTTATAAAAACAAACTCTCGCTCAGCAGTCATCTGTGTAAACAAGACTCATTGCAAAGAGGGTGCATTTTGTCTTTGTAATAAGACAGATCTCTTTGCAGCTAGTCATATTATGTTCCACTACTATCTTTCTGCAGCTCAGAGAAATGAATAGTACAAAATGGTAGTTTGGCTCGGTGGATTGGTAACAGCAGAGTCTTTGACAGGGGAAATGTTGGCTGTAGCTTTCATTGAAGTTCCCTAAAGACTGAACAGGTGTGGGAGCTGGCTCATCGATATGTAGTTGTGCCTCGGGACTTTCCGATTTCAGAAACAGAAAAACGAAATAAAATACTTAGAAATTAAGAGATGGGTTCACGAGAGGGGAAATCAATTTAGACTCCCAGAAGCTCTTGGCTGTGCTCTGCTAGTCAGAGCTCTTCGCAGATGTGCAGTGTTATTTTTTGGTGTGTATTTATTTGTGAATATTCTATTAAGGCCCACCTTTACCTAAATAAAAAAAAAAAAGGCAACCAAGTAGCTATAAATTGGATGAGGACAGAAACATGTTCGTAATTGGAGTGGCCTCATTATGAAAAGATGAATCAACAATCAGTGCTCAGTGATAAAGTGTGCTTTCTGTTGGGCAAGCGGGTTTTTTCCCCTTTTCTTTGCTGCTATAATTACCCAACCTTGAAGGAGATTAATACACTCCGATGGCTCTCAGAGTGGGTAAAAGAAGATAGAAAAGAAAAGGCGTGGAAAAAAGGGCAAAAGAGGATATGACAAACCCTGTTAAAGATATTTCATGTCATAGGAATCTTCTCCTTTCATCACTACCCGCCCCTTTCCTTCAGTCCTACTTGGCCCTCTTCACAGACCACTCTCTTTCTTTTAATCTCTTCTGTTTTCTCACATCCTTACCCTTCCTTCTGGTTCTTTTTTTTCTCGTCTCTGTCCTTCAACTAATAATCAAATTCCAGTCATGCCCCTGGCATCTTTAGATGCTTTACAGTTTTTGGATCATGCGGGACAGTTCCTTGGCCTGGACTCTGTTCAGAATGAATCAGGACCTGCAGCAGTTGTACCCTTTTCGAAGGGGGGAAAAAAAAATCTTTGGAAACATAAACCCAGGATCTGGTGCTGCCGTTCCTAATACTTCACCCGTCCATCAACAGCACCCGTCAAAAGCACTTGAAGCAGCATCATTCTGACAGTGAGCCAGGTGACGTGTCCTTGGAGCAGCCTGATTGAAGTACATAATCTTGTTTCAGCATTCTTTTCTTTTTTTCCTTTTTCTTTTTTTACCCTCAAGTGGTCCCCAGACTTGGAAGTCCAGCCGACTTAGCTGTCACTTTGCCAAAGGCCCTGTTCACAAGTATAGATTACCACATGACCCAGATCATCCGTTTTTACTGTGCAAAGCAGATCACAGAACTCGAATTTGCTGCTATTGGCTGACTAACATTGTTTGCATGTCTGATTATATTGGTACAGTGCAATTTTCTAGATCTTTATTTTGGTTCAGTTGCTTCTTGCTTCCTCTGAAAGGTCAGTTGGTAGCTCACAGTGGAAGCCAAACATCTCAGTGTGCTTTTTTTACGAGTTGTTTTTTTTTCCTCCTGTTTTCAAAGACGGTGCAAAAACCTGTCCCTGTCTTGCTTTCTAAGCTGCGTCTTCTCTGCAGTCAGCACATCACACACCTGGCTAAACAGGAACACACTGTGGATGAATCAAGATAATTGGGCTTTTAGCAAAGCTAATTAGCTTCTGTCCCTGAGTTCATGCTGTAGGAAGTTTACCTCTAGTTGGCTGAATTCACTCAAAGGATTTATATGGTTAGCGTTCTCTCGTTTGTTTGCATAAAATTCTAGATGTTGTTGTATATTTCCCTTTCAGTGAAATTAGATCAAATGTGTGGATTTAAAAAAAAATTGCTGTAGTGTGAAGGATTTTTTTTATCACCTATGTACCATGATAATTCTCAGTCTTCTGTTAATAATCGACATAAAATTTCATACTGCCGTCTTTGTTTGGTTTCCATGGATGACAGTCCCTATTCTATTAATACCACGCTCAGTGCTTTCTTAAGCCCTGAAGCCAGTGAAATCCTTCCAGGACAGAATTTTTTTATTTCCTCTATCCTTTCACATTTTCTTGGCCTCTCATAGTGAAATAACCTATGGCAGCCACCAGGCAATATAATGGAAAAACGCTGGGGATTAACATTAAAGTAAGGTCATCTGTAGAGTCTTGAAGTGAAATAAATTTGGTTCTTTCTATAACTGACTCTAAAATTGTTTCTCAAATTTGGATCTTTTTTTTTTTTTTTTTTTTGCCAAATCCCTTTGCTGCTCTCGCAAATTATTTCCTCTTAACTTGAGCCATTTTTGGTCCGAGTCCCTGGCTGTCATGTCTCTACAAAGAGAGTTTTTGGCTAATGTGAAATAATTAGTGCCGTTACATTCCTCTCACAAGTTGCATTAGAGTGTGTAAAGAATTAAAATATAATGGCATTTGAAGGCACACGGAATGATTGCACAACTGTATTACCATTCCAGGCATACCTCTCGAATATCTCTCCAA